TGCGGCCCGGAAAGGCCGGGATGGAGCTGCAGGGTGATGGTGACGGAACCCAGCTAATCAGAGACTCAAAGGGCAGCAGATAGGCCCGTGTTTGGAGGACGCCCGGGCGTGTCGGGGGTGTGTCAGCCTAGGCCCCGGGGCTGCCTGCTGCCTGCACTCTGACTGTGGGACCCTGTCTGGTCCGCACGCGGCTGGGGACCCAGGAGCGCGGCGGCAGGAGACAGCTCCGACCGCATGGCTGCTCACTGCCCCTGTGCTGGAGCGGGTGTGCCGGTGAGTTGTTCAGGGGCCGGCGCTTTCCTGGGGCGCGGGGACTGCTGAGGACAGAGACGGGCGTGTACGGGTGACCGTCCACCCCGGGAGCTGCGCCCTGCGTCATCGTGGGGGGCGCCCGACGGCTTCCCAGACCGGGTCTGCGTGGTGGTGACCGCTGGTGCGGTGGCGCCGCCTGCCCCAGGAGGGTGCGGTGGGAAGGCGGCGCCAGGCTGGCGGCCACGGGGGACCCGACCCGTCCGAGCTGCACCGGTGACGGGGCTGAACTCTGACTGCTGCGGCCTGGTGCCGGGGTCCCTGGGCACTGGCTGCGGACACCCCCAGGCCGGGCGGGGCACGTGTGGCTTCAGAGCTGCGGGCCCCACAGCTGCCCGTGGTCCTGGCCTGCCGTGCCTGGACAGTGTGTCGCAGTGGCCTCGGCCTGCGTCTGCCCGGGGGTCCTGAGGCCACGGCAGCGGCCAGCACAGCCCCGCCTCGGTCCACAGCGTGCCGTGTCCTGTGCGTGGGTGCGGCTGGGGGCTCGGCCTGGCTGGCTCTGGTGAAGGGGTCTGGGGACACAGGACACGGGGTCATCCATCCTCGTGTACCGTGATCGTGCAAGCGCAGCGTGAGTGCGTGATGCACTGTGTGTGTGTGCGTGGTGCCGGGGTGCACACAGGGAGCCCGGACTCTGGGAACGTTGCTGTCCCAGCAGACGCTGTTCTGACCCAGCGACCCCTCGCCGCCAGCGTGCACGGTGTCACGGTGGGGACACTCGCAGCCCTCCCGCCGTGTGGTGTCCACTGTATGACAGTACCTCGAACACACTCCTCTTAAGCAACTTTGTACCCATGACCCCCTTCTCCCCTCCCCCAACCTCTGCTGTCCCCCGTCCGCTCAGCGTCTCTGAGACCTGCTTTTCAGATTCTACCCGGGTGTGAGGGCAGGTGGCGAGGGTCGTCCTGTGTCTGGCTTGATGATCTCAGTCCCCTCCACATTACCACAGATGACAAGACTCCTTTTTAAGGCTGTATAGTATTCCACACAGTGTGTGCACCACATTTTCCTTCCTCATTCATTCGCCGGTGGACACTTAGTTCCATCTCTTGGCCAGCAGCGCAGGCTTTGAGGCCGAGTGATTGTGACGTTTCCTGAAGTCTCCATTTCCTTGTCTCAAGTTGAGTCACTGAGTCTGAGTCACTTCTGTTGGGGATGAAGACGGTCCTGTCCCTGCGTGGCACTTGCCAGGCCCCCCGAGATCTGGGGCCCTGCGGGCATCAGTGACGGCTGGTCTACCCCAGCGTCCTAGGCTGCAGCACCTCAGTGTCCCACTGGGCAAGATGCTGGGCACCTGAGGCTGGTGGCCGCCGGGTGGAGATGCCCGGAGCCTCTGTCCCCGCCCCGTCCCCTCCTCTGAGGTCAGGTGGGCGCCGTGCAGGTCCTGGACAGGACGGGGCACAGGGCACCAGGTGGGACCCTAGGCCGTGGCGGGAGGATTTCCCTGGAGCTGCCAGGAGCCTCGAGGGACAGGTGGGAAGCCATGTCTGTCCCTAGGGAAGGCTCGGGTGTGGCTATCGCAGGTGACTGGTTCGGGCCTGGCCTGTGGCCGCCCTGTGCTTTGCAGCCGGTGAGCTGTCTCGGTGCCCTGGTGGTCGGGCGCCAGGTCCTCCCAGGTGCTGCGATCCGATCCGTGGCGGTGTTTTTCGGAGAGGCGGGGACCTGGAAGGGATGAACGCCCCTGTGGGCACCCCAGCTGCGGGCCTGCGCTCAGGGCCTCCCGCTGCCCACCAGGTGGAGCCTGCCCCTGAGGGTGGGCGGGAAGGCTGGGTGCCGCCCCATGGGGCTGCTGACGTCCGGGCTCCTGAGCTGCACCTCGCCCCATACCAGGCCTCTGGGGAGCTGCGCCCGGCCCCCGCTGGCCGTGAAGGACAGGATGGAAAATACCGCGAGGATGTGGGTTCTCCAGAGATGCCAGGGCGCCTCTGCTTTCACATCTGCTGTCCTTGGGTCCCTGTCCCCGCCCTGCACACAGCGTTTACTCGGCTCTCCCGTCACGGCTCAGGTCCAGGAGCCCCAGGGCCGCGTGTGCTGCTGGATTTCAGGGGCTCACGGCGGAAGTGCTGTCAGGAGGTGGCCTGCTTGGAAGAGGCGTCCCTGGGGGGGACCTGGAAGGGGCCCTCTCCCTGCCTGGCCCCTCCTCCTCCCGGCTTCCGCGCTCCGTGAGGGGCACAGCTCGCCTCCCCCAGGCCCTTCCGCCCTGCTGCCCTGCCTCGGGCTGACGTGCGAGCCAAGCAGACCTCTCCTCCTCAGGCTGCGGTGTCCGCTACTGTGTCCCAGCAACGGGGGGCCATGGAGGCGGCCCCCTTCCCGTCACCCGCTGGCTTCTCCAGTCCAGGCAGGAGTCCTGGCGTTCCTCACGGGCACCCCTAACCGATCCCTTCCCCGCCGTGTTCCAGCGTTTCCAGGCAGGCATCAAGGCCGAGGTCACTGGGGCCCGCTCCGAGCCTCTGCCCTCACTCTTGGGGCCCCCAGGGCCTCCTGGATGCAGACGCGGGCGCGGCGCTCCTTCTGGACTCTTGCGGAGCCCCTGCTGACGGGGGTCCGGCCGGGCTTGGTGGTGGGTCTCCTCCTTCCCGACTACTTCCGGCCCCCGCTTGCCTCTCCGAGTGTCCCCACCCAGTGTCCCAGGGCACCCTGCATCAGCCCCTCCCCACCCCGCAGAGCGCCCACGTGCGCTGCGCCTCCTGGTCTGGGTGCCTGGGCGCCAGTCCTGGAAGCCCTCACGCCCCCTCAAGTCACAGCCGGTTGTTTGAGTTTTTGACACAGGATTGCACTGTGTAGTCCAGGCTGGCCTCAGACTTGTGATCCTCCTGCCTCAGCCTCTAGAGTGCTGACATTATAGAGCTCACATTACAAGCTGCGCCAGCACACCCAGCTGGGACATGATCTGAAGTCTGGCCTGTGCTCCCAGCTTGGCCCGGCTTTCTTCCCCAGGCTGGTGCGCGGCCTCTCCCTGGTCTCGGGCTCTGGCCGGCTCCCCGGGCTGTCTGGGTTCTGTCATCTGCAGAGAGAACGTCGGGGGCAGTGGAAGCCAGGGTGAGGCCTCTGGCCGAGGAGAAGCACAGAGGCGAAGCGGAAAGGAAAGCAGAAGCTGGGCAGAAACCAGCTGCCCACTGTGGCTGGCAGAGCGGGCGAGGCCGCGTCCACCGTGCAGGTTTTTGGGTTTTGGGTGCGGATCTAGGTGCTCCGGAGGAGGGTGCGCTCGCTATGCACCCACCCTGGTGTTGCCTAGACCCCCAGACCCTGCTCTTCCGCTTGCCTCCGGGGCGGAGGCTGTGGGTGTGACCGAGGCGGGTGGTCAGCAGTGTGGAGGCTGGACGCAGAGGCAGGAGTCGGCCCCCCAGCAGTCCCTGGGAGACGGACCAGGAGGTGCGGAACGGCGAGGCACGGAAAAGCCCTGAGGAGCCCAGGGCCCGTGGCCGGGGAGTGTGGCAGGAGGGTGGGCACAGCATGGTGTGGGGACGCCAGTTGGTGCACGGGCTGTGGGAGGACTTGGGCACCAGCACCCTGGCGGAGACAGAGGTGGGAATCTGAAGTCCGCGCAGCACATCGGCGCCTCTGCCAGGGCAGAGGAATGCTGGTGGAGGAAGATGACGGAGACGTCTATGAGTTTGAGCAAACCACAGGAAAAAGTGCCTCCCAAGGCACGGGCCACAGCGAGGGTGGCCGGGAAAGCGGTGAGGCTGGGTTTGGGGTGGGAGGGGCTCCCCTTGCACGTGATGATCGTGTGAGGCCTCGAAACGGGTGCCTGCCAGAGGAGGCGTTTTCTGGTTCTCTGGGCTGTTTTGCAGCTGAAAGTGGAAGTGTAGCTCTGCCCTTCCCGGGCTGGGACAGAAGATGGAGGTCTGATGATTGGAATTTGCAACATGTGGTAGCCACGGAGGCCCTGGGGGCCCACCCGGACTGCCCCCGATGCCGGGCCCAGTGTGCCGTCCGCAGGGCCTGAGCCGGGACGAGGCGGGTCATTAGAACTGCTCAAGGCTGGGCCGGGTGCCAGCCTCGACGTGGGGGCCTCACTCGGGGCTGCACGCTCAGCTGCAGGAGGCTCCTGGCGGGGTTCCCTGGCTGCAGCCCCCAGGCCCGAGGAGGAGGCACAGCCTCTTTCTCAGATGGGAGGCGTGTCGGGAGCTTTTGAGAGCCGATCCGCAGCTCCAGCACAGCCTGACTGGCCAGAGAGGAGCTCCTCTGTCGGGGGTCCCGCACACCCCATGTCCAGGCATTTCTGAGTGACACTTCCGGCTCCCCTCACCCTGCTGCCCTCACCTCCTGCACTCTGGGGATCTAGTTCCTCCCCGGACCCCCACCCCCACCCCAGCCACCCCCTCCTGCAGCGCAGCCAGCTCCTTGTTTTTCTTACTTGAAGCGCAGATTGGAAAAAGTAATAACCTTTCTGCCTTAGCACTTTCGTCTTCCCAGCCCAAGCGCGCCGTTTGCGGGTGGTGCGGGTGCCTGGCGGCCCGCCCGGGGCCCGCGCGGGGTTTTACTGGGTAACAGGCCAGACGTCCTCCCAAAGCCTGGGGCCCGCCGGTTTGTGATTCCGGGAAGCCCCTGGCCCGCGCGCTCGCAGAGGCTGGAAACCCCGAGCAAAGGAGCCCCTTGCCAAGCCCGTAACTCGGGTCAGATGGCGCGGAGCCCCCTCCCCGCGGAGGGCGGTGCTGCACCCACGTCCGGGTGCCTGGCCGCGCAGCCGGCCGGCGGGGGAGGAGGGCTAATTCGTGTCAGATGCCGAGACGCGCGCGGGCTGCTCTCGCGCCTGGCTTTTGTTCCCGGCGTCTGACTTCGGCTCCCGGCTGCATCGCTTCGGGGCAGCTCTGTTCGCGGGGAGCCCGGGGGACCTCAGCCTGCGCCCCGACCTGGGGCTGGTCGCTCCCCGCGCGGCGTGGCCATGCGGCTGCGCGCCCTG